CACGCACACGCACACGCGCACGCGCACGCGCACGCGCACGCGCACGCACGCGCACACACGCACACACCCACACACACACACACGTGCGCGCGCACACGCACACGCACACGCACACGCACACGCACACGCACACGCACACGCACACGCACACGCACACGCACACACGCACACACACATTCACACACACACACATCCACACACACACATTCAAACAAACCCGCATTCACACACATTCACACACATACAGATTCACACACATACACACACACACCTCATGCAGTGACACTCGGCGAAGAGAGCCTGGAAGGGAGGGAGGGAGGAAGGCGAGAGGGGAGGCCGGACGAGAGAGGGAGAGCGAGAGAGAGAGAGAGAGAGAACGACATGAAGAGGAGGAGAGAAGGGGGCGAACGACAACCTGACGAGCGGCACGGCAAGCAGCTAAGTCACACATGCTGCGAACATGGCTGTCAGCATGCACGCTGACTGGAGGACCTCATCGGAAGTGGACGCCTGGCGCGCCTGCATGGGCGACAAGGGAGAACAAGAGGGCGAGCTGGGGACGGACAGGCGACGAGAGGAACGCGCGACAGGAGGGCGAGGAGGGAGGGCCTGCCAGCAGACGCCCGTGCCAACTTCCGCGGCTCTGCTGCCGGACTGACCCCACAGCTCGGCCCCGCTGGGTGAAGCAGGGGCGCTCGGGGGGCGGCAGCGTTTGGACAGACACACTTCTGCACGCCCAGCGAGAAGCCTGATGCGCAAACGCCAGGCCCACCATCGTAAGATTGGTCGCGGCTCGCGGTAAGGCGGCTAAGTCCTTGACCGCTCACTCCTGCTCTCTTGCAAGTCCTCCTGCTGCTGCGATATTCCTCGTGCTCCTCCTTCACATCCTTCTACTCAGCATCCGCCGTGTCCTCCTGCTCTTACCTATCATTATCCCGCTGCTCTTGCTGCTCTCCCCATTGTCGATCTTACCCTCCTCCTCCTCCTCCTCCTCCTCCTCTAGCTTCTCCGCCTCCGCTTCCTTCTCCTTCTCACGCCCGTCTTCCCCGACATTCTCACCCTCGTCATTCTTATTGCTGCTCCTTCCTCTCCCTCGCCTGCTCCCCAGGCGATGGAGAGGTGGACAGCCTGGAGGGGTCCCCGTTGTCGAGCAGCTTGCCGCCCCGCATGGAGAGCTGATGCGCAGCATTGATGTTCGCTGGGGCCGCCTGCTTCCTGCGGGAGCCAGAAAAACCGTGGGCCACGGCTTGGGAGGAGTATCCAGGCGTGCTCGGGCGGGCAAGTGTGAGCACGCCAACTATGCCGTGGTCTGAGGCCCTGGGGGGGGGGCAGACGCCTGCAACAGCGGCGAAAACTCGACGAGAGCGATACCATCGAACCGAAATCTGCCGCCAGGATTCCGAGGATCGAGCTGCAACACAGGCGCCAGGGTTCTCTGCAAGGTGTCCTTGGCACGATCCTCGTAAGCGGCCACGGGGGTTGCGGCCAACACGTACCAAATTCGTAATGCCATCGTTGACCGCCTCGCCGTACGTTGCTCAATTTCCTCGTCTTTGCATTGTCTCATTGCATGGTGCGCTCGTTGCCCGCGTCGCTGCCTTCACTGCTCCGCTGCATCGTGCTCCAGTGCGTGGTGTACTCGTCTCTCTGATCACTGCTCTTTTATACCGCCATCGATAACTTGTATGCCATCCCATTGCGTCGTACGCTCGCGGCCCGCCTGGTAACACCATTGTTGTATCTTGTATCCTGTTTGCCAAATGTCCACCTCGCACGCCTCAATCACCGCAAAGGTGGCTGGTAGGCAGTGCGAGGGAGCACTGTACACAGCTCCAGAACCCTGGCTTTGCCAGGCTGGGCTGCCCCACGGTGCCGTGCAGGCACAGAGCATGGAGACTGCCTTGAAAATCCCATGTCTGGCCGCACCGGGGTTCCTCCCAGCTACATGGCAATCCACGATTGGTAATAACGACACCGGGGGGGCAGAGCCCCTGTGCCAGAGTGGGATCACACCTCGAGGGCAGCACGCGCCTGCAAAAAGCACCCCATGACCTGTCATGCGTCGGCCCCTGGCTCTGCCCATCGATGTGGCATTTGCCTGTTCTGTGACTTTGTGGCGCGCTAGACATTGCCCTGATGCCCGATCGTGTACACACCGTGTCCACACCGTCGTGCATTGGCCCAATGGTTCCTTCTGTCAGTATCTCGTTGCCCCATGCAGCGGTGTGCTCATCGGCAGCCTGTGTATCTGTTTGCCCGTCGCCCAATTGTCCCGCTTCCTATTGCGCTCCTTGCCTACATGGTTGCACCGTTGCTCTGTTCTCCGTTGTAGCGTTACCTCACTTCTATTTCGCACTTGCGGTCTCAAAATATCGCTGCCCCAACTCCATATTCTCCAAGTGCCTCTTGGGGACGCTCCTGGCCCTGGGCTCAATCAAATAGTTTGCGAATGACTCGCCTGCAACCTTGCGAGTGCTGCGCTGCCCCTCAAAGCTGGGTTGCCCCAGCACCTCGATGACGACTTGCTTCGTTTCGATGCACGCGGTGAGATCGCCACTCGCATCGTTATTTGGTGTCGCCTCCCTGCCTCGCAGGGGAAACTAACATCCTGTGTGTGGCGCGCTCGAGTTCTCAAAACGGTCGCTCCATGTCTGCCTGACCACTGTTCGTCCCTTGCCTGCCTGCTTGCTCTGTTGATCGGTCTACACAGCCATCTCGATACCTGACCAATGCACAACATCACTGGCAAGACTCCTGTAATCTGCCGGCCCCCTTGTGCGGCCATCAGGCTGCGCGGCCTAGATTTTTCCAGCTCCGGGTGCCAGTTCCAGTTTTCAGTCTCCGACGTGATAATGCTACTGTCTGTTTCCTACTGTGCATTGTTACTGTCCGCGCGAGGGGGGGGGACCGAAAACCACCCTGGCCACCACGCCCCAATCGCGTTGCCTGAACTTCTAGTGGGCCTTGGACGCGTTCAAAATACATGTGAGGTTCGCGCGCTCGAGGCCGTAATCCCTAGTATATTACGCCGGGTTCGCGCTCCCGGGGCCAGAATCCTTTGCACAATACCCCAGACTCGCGCTTCCGAGGCCAGAATCCTGTGTAAATTATACCTGTGCAATTATTGGCTCAAGATGTGGCTCAAGCCCACTCTCAACGCACAACAGTCTCAACTTCCCGTTCCCATACCCCTATCTCCCGATGGCCGGTACGAGCTCGCGGGCGTCAGGGACACCCGTTCGCGCAGTCCTCGAGCGCGACGTACCGACGCCGCTTATTTAGTCCGCTTGACGAGATGGACGATGGCCCGCATGTGATGGACGACGGTCCGCAGCGGCTCAACATCAGTACGCCTCCGCCGCTGATCCCCGACACACCTCCAGACGCTCGCGGAGCAAGCACCTCCCAAGCATGAGTATCGTTTAACCGATCCTCATCCCCAGCGGCGTGGCCTGAGCCCCACTGGCCGAATTCTCTCCCTAGATGGGGATATAGGCCGCTCCTCTTGGGTTTCGAGGGGCATATCCCCAACTGGGGGGGGGGGGGTAATTTGGTGGGGGTCTCGAAGGGAATGTGCATGGGGATGGGGATTGGTTAAACGATACCGACAACAGGCTTGCAGGAGATCGCAGCGCTGCTCAGGCAGGAGGTAACCCCCTTGCGGCGGGCGACCACGAATCTGGAGAGCAAGATCTCGGGCATGAGCGAGGGGATCGAGGCCAGGACGGAGACGCTGGAGAAGCAGGTGGAGGAGGTAGACATCCACATCACGAATCTTGACAATCAGGTTGATCTCGGCACACCACGCTCCGAGCAGAGCGTCAGCCAGGAGGTTCCAGATCGGATCAAGGCGTTGGAACTTCGAGCCTCCATGCTGCTGCCTCCGAGCGGCGACAGCACTGACAGCCAGGAGAAGGATAAAACAATCGTGATTGGCGGGTTACGGTACTTCGAGGACCTCGACGGGGCGAAGCATTGGGTGACGAATAAACTGTGGGAATCTTATGGGCCTCAACAGTAGGATATGTACGCGAAAGGGGAGTTCAAATGGATCGTGTTCGGAAAATTCGCATCGACGAAAGACCGGGACACGGCGGCGAGACTCTTCTGGAAGGGCAGGTTCAGGGAAGGGGGGAACGACGTGTGGGCTAAGCCGCACCAGTCCCTCCCAGAACGGGTCATTTCGAGCTTCGCGTTTGGAGCGAAATACTTGCTCAAACAATGGGGCTACGCTGGTCAGTCTGTTTGGGCTGATCCTGTTGAGGGCAAGGTTTGGGTTAGGGATGACATTGCCCTTCAGGCCAGCATCAATTCTGGCAAATCCCACGTGGACTATGGGCGAGGGTGGGAGGCGTGGCTTGCGGACTCCAAATTCCCTGACTTCCCCGAACTCATGAAGAACATAGCCCGCAAACTCGAGAGCTTCTCGTCCAAGGGATCCGGCAAAGCCGCAACCAAGGGGACGTTCAAGGGGGAGTGGAAGGGGAAGGGCGCCCATGCCATGTAGGGGTGCCAGCGGTGTGCGAGCAGAGATGTTTCACACCAGAGCGCTTGGGATCGTGTACCTACCTTGCACATTCTTCAGGACGCTCTCAACACGCTAAAGGGGAGCATCCTGGTCAAGCCAAACTGCCAATCGCCGCATGCATGGGGCGGACGCTTGTCCCCCTCAACCTCAGAATTCACGATTGCATCTCGGAATATTGAAGGGTACACCCATTCGAAACAGATCGCATTAGAAAAGATCATGATTGATAACGAGACCGGGGTGTTGTGCGTACAAGAGCCTTGGCAGTTGAAGTCTAACACGTTCGTGACAGACTCAGGCTTCTTGGTCATCATGTCTGGAGAGATCGACGGAGATAGCGAACGAGCTGTAGTGGCGTTCCTAGTCGCTCCCTGGTTTCGGAGGTTAGGTGGTATGATTCTGCCAGGCTGATTCAAGAATGGCGTCGTTGAAAGTACGTGTCCCTGGAGGGAAGGCGGTGATATTCTCAGCATGTGCAGCTGAGCCTTTTGATCAAAGACATACTTTCTTTCACGACCTGACCGAGTTCGTCGAATCCAAATCGGCGCACGGACCCAAATTGCATCTAGGCGATTTCAATTTGAAACTTCACTGCCGCGTGGATGGCGAACACGCTGCGGTGGGCGAACACGTCTCGCTGTGCCTGGGTATGGGGTGCAAGGACGATGCCAATAGACATCTGCTGGTGGAGACGATCACACATCCCAACATGCGCCTGGCCAGCACATGTTCCGAGACCCCGACTGGCGGCCTGGCAACTTTCTACGACGTTGGCACGAGCGCAGGCGCCCCGGTCAGCTGGCAGACTCACTCACAGATCGATTTCTTTTAGTTGCGGGCAGGACTGGCTGCATAACGTCAGAAGCGCGAGATCCCGCCCAGAGGTGTCCATATCATCTAGGGCTCCCAACTTCGCGCTTCGCGCTTCGCGAAGCGCGAAGCGCGAATAACTTCGCGCTCTCGCGCCGCCCTCCCAAAAGGAGAATAGGAGGAGGAGGAGGAGGGGGAGAAGGAACGAGGACCGCGAAGCGCGAAGCGCGAATAACTTCGCGCCCTCGAGGGAGCCCTTGATCATCGCATCACTTCTTGCTGCGAGCCTCCGTGCGCATGGAGGTTGCCAAGCGCTGTGTGGGAGAGCAAGCATGCCGTCGAGACCACGGCGCCCTGGCCGACGAGATCACCAGGCAACCCCTTGCAAGATGTCTGGGCGAGGTTTGGTACAGCTCCTCCTCCTCCTCCTCCTCCTCCTCCGAAGAGGCATACCCGAACGACACCGACGTGGACCGGGCATGGTGCCGAATGGTTGATGGCATCGTACATGCAGAGACGATTGTCTTGCCGCGGGAGCCGATTCGTCCCCGCAAACCTTGGACCAGTAGCAGCACGATGGAACTCGTCCGGTTGCGGTCTCGAGCCAGGTAGGACGCGGATGCAACTCACGAGCGTGACATGGCGAAACGAATCCGAGCTTCCGTGGCCAGAGACATTGCGAATTAGCTTGAGAATGTAACCAGAGACGGAGATTGGGCACAGATCCGAAGATTGCGCAAAGGCCGCCAGCATTCCCAGATAAGAGCTCGCGCGAACGAGGGCGAGCTGGTGGACAGCGACCGCAGAGCAGATACACTTGCGCAGCACTCAGAGACAGTGCAGTGGGCCGTGTGACCAACGACAGTGCTGCCAAATGACCCTGCGAATGAAGCAGATTTGCTTTCCAACTCGGACAAGGTGCAGCGAGCCGCCTGCAGATTGAAAAGCAAACGATCGGGCGGCTTGAACGGCTTGCCACCCGAATTCTGGAAAGCGTCTGCTAAGGATGGACAACCAGCCCTTGCAATGGTCACGGTTTTCTGTAACGTTGTCTGCTCACAGGCAGCGGTGCCAGACGCGTGGCACAAATCGAGGGTTCGCACGATTTGCAAAAGAGGCGACCCAGCAGTATGCGACAATCACCGGCCGATCAGCTTGCTGCCGATAGGGTGCCAGGGTGCCAGGTATTCGCGACGATAACGCTGCAGAGGTTGAAAGACGCGGGGGCGGATGACAATATTTGGCCCACGCAGTTCGGCTTCCAGTCCAGACGCGGCACCTCGGACGCGACCTTCGTGGCCGGGAGGGTGCTCGAAGACGCGTGGGCCACGGAGGCGGGGACCGTCCACCTCTTGGCGCTTGCTGCTTCGGCGAAGGCGTTCGATTCCGTGTCGCCCGCAGCAATGGGCGACGTCGCTTGAGCGGTTCGGGTGCCCTGACAGATTCGGGGACACGGTGAAGGCGATCTACGAGGACGGAAAGCTCGTTGTGTCCGACTTCGGCCCATCATCCGGCGAGCGGCGACAAAGGTTCGGCATCTGCCAGGGGTGCCCGCTGTCTCCTCTCCTGTTCACCATCGTCATGGCGACGCTGCTGGAAGATGCGCACGCCCAGCTGCGCAGGCGAATGCCGGACATTCCCGACGCGCACTTCGTGCGAGACCTGGTGTACGCCGATGGCACGCTCTTGATGGACGCGAACCCTGTTGTCGTGCAGGAGCTCATGTCATGCGCGGAGGAGTGTGGGAAGCAGTATGGTCTGAGTTGAATCCCACCAGCCCTCTGGGCGTTGGTGGTCTACATAGAGCGTTTCCTCTTCCACCTCACTTCTTCCCTTTCGGGGAGGGGTTTACCCCTCCCCCTACTCCCTCCCCTGGACCTGGACGGGGCGCCCCGCGAGCGGTCAGGGCGTCCAAGATGGCCTCGAGGGGTGGGGGGGGGCGCGAATTCAGGACCCCCCCTTCTTTGATCGATCCCCTCCGAGATGGCCCCACGAGCGCTCCCAAGGCTCCCAAGGGTGCCCCAAGAGGGCCCCAAGAGGTGGCCAGGAGGTCCCAAGAGGCTCCCAAGAGGCCCCCAGGATGCCCCCAAGAGGCTCCCAAGAGACCCCCAAGAGGCCCCAAGAGGCCCCAAGAGGCCCCCAAGAGGCACCCAAGACGCTCCAAGAGGCCTCGGCGAGAATGCCCAAATCATTGATCTTACTAAGGTTTTGGCCACATGTTGGCTTCCTGGGGGGGGGGACACTGCTTCAGATGACTCCAAGAGCGCCTGGGAGAGCCCAAGATGTCCTCCAATATGGCTCAAGATATCCCAAGATGCCTCAAAATGGCTCCCACGATGCTCCAAGAGGTCCCAAGACCGCTCCAAGGCGGCTCCAAGTTGCCAAATAGCTCCCCCAGGAGGCCCCGAAGAGGCCCAAAACCGTCCAAAACCTAAGGAAAATCAATGACTTTGGCTCTCCCGCGGAGGCCTCAAGACGGCTCCAAGATGGCCCAAGAGGGCTCCAGGAGCGCTTGCGAGGCTCCCATTAGCGCTTCAAGAGGGCCCCAAAAGGCGCCCAGAAGGCACCAGGAGGCCCCAACAGGCGCCAAAGACCTCCAAGAGGCTCCAAGGAGACCCCCAAGAGGCCCCAAGAAGCTGTCCGAGGCACTCAAGACGCTCTAAGAGGCGTCCGGGACCGCCAAGAGGCCCCCAAGACGCTCCAGGAGGCCTCCACTGGGGGACCCTTCCTCTGTGTGCTGCCCACTTCCCTGATCGAGGCAATTCCTCTGGGCATCGTTTCTGAATGGGCTGGTTGGTTTACGCGAAGCGGCTAGAATTACAACAAAGTAGAAATGATAAGAGTCCGCTCAGACGCACACGTAATTAGTGAAAAGCGTTGGAGACACGGTGAAAGGAAAAGAAACATTGCTGTATCTCGGGGCCCACATCTCGTCCGACGGCTGAGGTGGCTCTGAATTGAACCAGAGATTAGGAGCCGCAAAACAGGATTTCAAAGTGTTGCATGCAATTTGGTCTCACGCAAAATTGTCTCGGGACCGAAAAGTGCAGATGTTTGACGCTGGCATCGTTTCAGAATTATGCTACTGTCTTTTCGCCGCTTGCTTGATTGAGCAAATCGGAGCGTAAGAGACTTGACGGGTTCCAGGCCCGGTGTTTAAGATGAATTTGCAGAGCACAACCTTCTAATATTAGTCGCGCGCCCAAAAGTGCCGTGTTGAGCATGGCCGGCGAACGGCCGCTGAGCGAAGCCATTGCCAAGCGACAAATGATTTTCTTCGGGCAGCTCGCGAGGCGACCCTGCCACGACCCTGTGCGATGCTCCATTCTACAGCCCGGCGGCATTGAACCGCGATTGCCGACAGGGCCTCGCAAACGAGGGCGCCCCCGACAAATCTGGGGCAACATGGTTCTGAAGAGCTGTCTGAGAATAGCCGGCACCCGCGCTTAGCTGACCTCTTCCGGCCTGAAGCCGGTGCAGCAGCGGCGTGGGAGTCGGCTGTGAAAGCATGGCGCGACTGACTGGTCGTGTGTCCACTTTGCGTGCTTTCTGCTTGCGCACCGTCTCGTGTCAGCTTCCCCCCCTCGTCCTCCTCCTCTTCTTCCTCCTCTTCCTCCTCCTCCTTTGGTGCACATCAGCGGGACATGCTTTGCAGAGCCTGCCTTGGATGATGTGGCGAAGAGCACCTCCGCAGGCGCAATCGTCTTGTTTCGCCCTCTTCGCGCGCCGTCTGGCGCAAGACTTCTGACCTGACCGCGTTCCCGAGGCCAGAAACCACTGCACACAACGCCAGGTTCGCGCTCCCGGAGCCAGAATCCTTGGTACATTTCGCCACGTTCGCGCTCCGAGGCCAGAACCCCTCGCACATGACACGTGACTCGCGCTCCCGAAGCCAGAATCCACTGCAATTCACATCACACTCGCGCGGGCAACGCCCCCAACATGTGAGTGTTCAATAACAGCCCCAAGATTGAAACATGTTTTGCTGATTCCCATCCGTCCCCGCATGATGTCCTCGGATGTCTTCAAGACGGCGCCCAAACACTTTTTGATTCGCGGGTCGAGAACGCACCTCTTCCGGTCGAAGCTAAGCGGGCCGCGCGAAGCTTGAATTAACAAAGAGGGGGAAACAGAAGGAGAGGCCTCACGTCAAGGCCAGGAGGAGGCAAAGCCTCGGGATCAGGCGGTGCCAAAGACGATGTGCTTGTAAAGGAACGCCTTGGACAGGAGACACATGCCATGTTTATGATTGTGTTTGTTTCCAGCAAGTTCTACCATACACACATATCTATATATTTATATGTATAGGTGTGTGTGTGTGTGAGTGTGTAAGTGTGTGAGTGTGTGCATGCATGTGTGTGTGTGCCGATGTCCCGAACCCTGCTCCCCCCCTGCCCTGACCCTCAAGCTGCCCTCCCTCCGTGCCCTGGCTATTCCCCTGGCCCCCGGCCCTCTCCCTCAGCCCCAGCCCCCGCCCCCAGCCCCCCTGGAGCCGCCACCTCCCCAGCCCTGACCAGGGTTCGAGCTAGACGGTGTCGTTTCCCTTGTTCTCGTGCTGGCCTCGGTGTGCGCCCGTCCCGTCTTCGTCCCGCCTTCCCTGCGGCACGTGATCGAAACGGAAACGGCCTGCGACGTCGCCGGAACACCGCTTGGCTCGAGCCCTGGCCCTCGCCTCCCGCCCCGCCCTCGCACCCGCCCGGCCCGCCCTGACCCGTCCCCTTCTGACCCCGGCCAGCCCCCCCCCCTCCTCTGGCAGCGGCCTCCGACCTTTCGGCGCGCCCCGCTCCTGGGGCACCAGGCGATCGGCAGGTTGACAGCCTCCCGCGGCCACCGTGGGACCAAGGGCGGATTTAGGAGGAGGAGGAGAAGGAGGAGGAGGAGGAGGAGGGGAAGGAGGGGGAGGACTGGAAGGAGGAGTTGGAGGAGGACGGAGGAGGAGGAGGGGGAGGAGGCGGAGGAGGAGGAGGAGAAGGGGGAGGAGGAGGAGGAGGAGGAGGAGGAGAGGAGGAGGAGGAGGAGGAGGACGGAGGGAGGAGGGAGGGAGGGGGGGTGAGGGAGGGAGGGAGGGAGGGAAGGAGGGAGGGAGGGGGGAAGGAGGGAAGGAGGGAGGGGGGGGGAGGGAGGGAGGGAGGGAGAAGGGGGAGGAGGATGAAGAGGAGGAGGAGGAGGAAGAGGAGGAGGAGGAGGAGGAAGAGGAGGAGGAGGAGGAGGAGGCGAAGGAGGAGGAGAGGGAGGAGGAGAAGGAGGAAGGGGAGGAGGTGGAGCGTACCCAAAGAGTCTGTGACACATGAACACACTAAGAATCCGCACCCCGAACGACGGGGAATACCGTCAAACCTCGAGTAATCGATTCCGCTAGAGCCCACAGACCGAGGAAGCGGATTACGAGAACCAGCCCTCTGGCTCCGCATGTGGTCCGGTTCGCTCGGCAGGATGCGCCTGCTCTGTCTCTCCTCGTCGACGATGCGACCTTCTGGATGCAGAAAAACACATTGGAGCCTGTGGCACCTTCGACCGTATGTGCATAAAAGATCGGCCGCGTTACCAGCGGAAGGCCCTGGGCTCGAGGAGAAAGGAAAACGGCCGCGTGAAATCGACGCGCGACTATGTGGAACAGCCTGTCGCGGACACTCTTCCAATGCCTGGACGCGAGCCTCCACCAGCGCCAGCCCACGAGAAAGCTGATCGGCTGGTTCGCCAACCTTGGAAACACAAAAATCAATGCAGGAGTCCATCATCGTCTTCAGTGAATCCGACACAATACTTGGAACAGCCTGGCAAACAACCTGTGTAACCACTTCGCTGCAGATCATCTTGATTTGATCCTTGACAAAACCACGAATTGTGTGCATCTGGTCCTCGAGCGCGCCAATGCGGCCACTCACCTCCTCGGCCGCTCTCCCATGACAAGGGGGACCAGACGCAGAAGAAACACTGGAGGCTACGGACCTAGGAGAAGACAAAGAAGAAGACAGTGCAGCGCCCGCCTGCTCCTCCAGGACGCCCTGGAGCTTCGCAATAGACGAGTTCGGCGCCTCAATGAGTTTGTGATGCAATTCCAACTGATTATCCGTCAGCGCCGCAGGAATTGAGAACACATCTGTAGCCGGAAGGGGAAATGGTTGTTGTGTGCACCCCGAGGAATCCAGCTGGCGCGAGATGAACGCAGGGGCATCGCGCCTAAGGCCAGAAGACGAATCGCCAGGATGACCGTGCCCTCCTCCATGCGCCTTGCGTGCGCGACAATGCCATCGTCGGGGTGCACATACTCGACCTCGAGGGCCCGTGACGCCAGCGCGCAGCTCGGTCTCTAGCACCTCGAAGAAGCCGGCCTCCCAGGGATCCGAAACATGTCGAAGGAATTGGTGAGTGATGCCGATATGTTGAAGGCGGCGACGAACAAGAGTCGACAGAACGCCTCGACACCCATGCACCGCACTGCGTAGTCCAGAATAGTGCTTACCAGAGAACGCCGTGATAAGCCTCAGCGCCCTGGTGGCAACGCAGGCTACTTTACCACAAGACAAATCTATACCATCGTCTGAAGCCATCCCAAAACCAGATGAATAAGAAAAGAGAGTCACGCGGAACTCAAGAATGCGCAGATCAAAACATCCCGAGGCGCGCTTGAGCCGAGGTCAAAAGATGCCGTCCTGCGCCACAATGGCTACGGAGGAGGAGGAGGAGGAGGAGGAAGAGGAGGAGGAGGAGGAGGAGGAGGAGGAGGAGAGGGGGCCGCCTCAGGGCCAGGGGGGCAGCGGCCGAGGGAAGGCCGTGGAGCTCAGGGGATGGCCGAGCCAAGCAGGCAGGAGGGACCCGGAGACAGAGCAGGGCAGGGGCAGCCTCCAGCAGGGCCGCGGAGGAGGGAGGAGCAGGAGGAGGAGGAGGAGGAGGACGAGGAGGAGGAGGCGGAGAAGGAGGAGGAAAAGTAGCAGTGAACTGAGGGGACGAAACCATCCTTCGCGCCTCGCCGCCGCCGACTGCGACCGGGCGCCTTAGGTGAGGAGGCGTAACTGGCTGTGCGCCTCGTCGACAATGTGGTTGTCACAGACCTGGTCGAGGGGCTCCGCGTGGGTGATGTCGCTGTCCAGCATGTGGTTGGGGGACTCGCCAACCATCATCACGTTCGGGAGGCCGTCGAGGTCAACTTCATTGCTGACGGACGTAGGAGGTGGCCCATTGAGATAGCCAGCGTGCGTGGCCTCCACAGGAGACGGATGAACTTCATGAGGCCGATGATGTAATCACAGGTGCCACTGGAGTAGGGACATCAGCGAACGAGGTGATGTGAGTGTTGCAACCGTGGTCGCCAAAAAAGACGGAATGCGACGATGGTTCGGCAACAAAACGTCCAAACGGTTCGTCATGAGGAGTTTCATGAGGCCGTGGAGATAGCGTAACCACATAGTTGCCAACACCCAGCGTGTCGGGAGCGATGACGGAGGAGCCATGAGCGCGAAGTGTGGGGGTGGGCGCGAGCACCACGTCACGAGGCGAGGCGGCCAGGTCCCCATGTGGTAAAGGAGAAGGAGGAGAATAATGTACAACACCTCTCTCTCTCTGTCTCTCTCTTTCTCTCTCTCTCTCTCTTTCTCTCTCTCTCTCTCTATATATATATATATATAAATACCCCAGTTCACGCTGAGTTATTTAGGTTTCCTGTCGAGAAGGTGGGCGAGAGACCTCGGGCAGTGTGAAAGTGTGCGGCAGCACCAACTATCAGCCTGATGTGGGAAGCACCCATCTGCCTCGCGGCGCCCCTGGAACACGCGCAGGCAGCGCTTCGCCAGCACTCGCACTCACAGGAGGGGCAGCGGCACGAGAGAGCAGTCGAGACCTCGGCTGGCCTTCGGAGGACCATGCATCAGCTACTTGTCTGTGGCGGCGGGCAGCGACGCGCAATCTAGCCTCAAAGACCTGCTGGGGCGTGCCACGGGCAAACGCACGCCTGGCATTATGAGCCGCCAGGAACGCATCAAGGCACGCAGCGCGTTTCAAGCAGGCGGGCACAGAATCACAGTGGAGGAGGAGGCAAGAGTGGAACCAGCTGGGGCTCACGGGTCCTTCAGAGACACAGAGTTGATCACCCAGCCATTTAAACATAATCGAACACAACCTCGGACAATGGGAATAATGACGCAGAGAATCAAAATCTTCACCCTCCACCCTTCCTTCACATCCAAAGAGGCAGCCAGCAGGAGCGGAGTGGAAACGCGCCGAGGTACAAAAGGCTCCAGTCATAACTCGAAGCGGTGCAATGCCAATATACATGGAGCTCGCTTTGCACACTTGTTTAACCATACTACATTTGCGAGCGATCTGCTGGGCAGTGACAGACTTACAAAAATAATGAGCACGCCGTAAAAGAGTATCCCGAACAGGTTCAGAATCTTCAAGAGCCCGAGTACGCTTGTACAACTTACCCGGGATCGATTTTGGATTCCACCGCAGGACCGTCGGTTTAAGGCCAGAAAACTTGTCCCAGAGCAACCGCATATGCCCAAGAAAAGAGGAGGGGTTCCAACCACGGTGCCAGCGATAAGGGATGTGCTCAAGATCATCGCGGGTCCTCTCAAGCCCCTCAAAGACGCCAGGAAAGTCGGGGCATTTGAGCATAAAGCGAAGAGCAGCGGCTTGTGCGACAGCGCTAATCTCAACGAGCTCGATCCCAAAGCCAATCGCCTTCAGCTTGGTGGCAATGTTATAAGAGATGGCGCTGCGAGGCCCCGAAGCCAACAACATTACACTTCCCCGAAACTTGTGAACCAGAAGCTGATTCGAAAGATAAAGTTGAAGACGAAACAGCAACTTCGAAACGCACATCACCTGGAAAGCCCAGGCCGACCTCGCAATGCCCAGCCCCAACAGCCGAGTTTGGTGCACCCGAGCCAGGAACCCAGGAAGGATAGACTGCCAGACGTGCAGGTGGGCCTCGGGACCGATCGGGAAGCCAAGATACACAGCCCAGGAGAGGATTTGAATTTCGCAGAAGGGTGCGCCAAAGCTCTTTAAAACCTCTCGAAGGCTTGATGATCGGTCGTGCCACATAAAATCAACTGGCACTTCTTGAAATTCAGCTGTAAATTCGCAATCTTAGCAATCAGCATCAGGCCGTGCAGCACAGGGCTGAGATCGGTGAGGACGTTCACCAGGCCAAACAAGAAGTCATCTGCGTATGCTAAGTTCAAGTCGATAAATCGCGAGCATCGGTGACGTAACCATCGCAGGAGGGGGTCGACGGCCATTACGAATAGGTACATTGAAGCTGGGCAACCTTGCTTTACCCCCGACTCCACAGCTATAAAATCAAAACGGCGACCATTGAGGCAGATGATCCCCTTGTTATCAGCATACATCATTTCGAAAAAGCGTATAACATAATAGTTAATGCCCATGCACTGGAGCACACAGAAAAGCCAGCACTGCGCCAGGGACGGGAAAGCGGACGCGAAGTCCGTCAGGAACAGAGATGTGTGAGGAGCATCGCGTAGGTGCTGAGCAAGGCCCCATCCCTCCGCCCTGATAACATTAGATATCATCGCCCTCCCTTTCACACATTTTTGCTCGCTCCCTATCAGGTGCATGGTGTTAGAGACCACAGGCGTGATAAAGGCGCTCGCGAGGATTTTCACATCGGCGTTGCTCATGCTGAGGGGGCGGGTGCACGAGGGGGGGCGAACCAGGCCGTCAGCAGCATTATCCTTCGGGTCCGTGCCCTTCGGAAGAAAAACCATCAAGCTCAACCTCATATCTTCGGGTAGTTGAGTGGCGCTATCTGTGAAGAGGAGAAGATAACAGGAGTGCAATAGCCGGGGGGC